AGACATCATTCTGAACATATCATTGACTCCAGGTTGTATTAATGTTTCTACTATTAAATGATGCTTTTTACACTTAGCAATTTTATTATAGTTTATATTATACTATAATTTATACTATATTATACTATATTATATTATACTATACTATTTTATACTATATTATACTATAATTTTATTATAGTACATGCAATCCTTCTGATATCACAGACTTAGTTTTTGGAAAAGTCTGTTTAAAAAATTGAGTAAATGCTGAGAAACTATAATGTCCAATGAATGAATGAATGAAAAGGCATTTATTAAGCACCTACTATATACAAAGCACTATGCTGAAAAGTGAATCTCTGCTTTCAAGGAGTTCCCATTCTTTTTTTAATTCTAATTTTTTATTTTTTTGTGAGGCAGTCAGGGTTAAGTGACTTGCCTAGGGGGTCACACAGCTAGTAAGTGCCAACTGTCTGAGGCCATATTTGAACTCAGGTCCTCCTGACTCCAGGGCCAGTGTTCTCTCCATGGTGCCACCTAGCTGCCCCTGGCAGTACACATTCTAATGGAGGAGATAACACATATAGGAGATGTCAGCAGCAGGTCATATGAAAAGGTCCCATTATCTTTAGGGTGCAATAGCAAAGTAGATGTTAATGTAGCCTTTGGGAAAAAAAGAAAAGATATGAGAATCCAATTTCCTCTCTTCAGGTCAGAAATGGGGGACTAGGGCAGCTAGGTGGCACAGTGAATAGAGCTCTGGCCTTGGAGTCAAGAGGACCTGAGTTCAAATCCAGCCTCAGACACTTAACACTTACCAGCTGTGTGACCCTGGGCAAGTCACTTAATCCCGATCGCCTTAACAAAAAGCAAAAAAAAAAAAAGAAAAGAACAGAAATGGGAGACTCCAAGCATGAAACAGTGCACATAATGTTGGATTAAGTTCCATGTTGTTTAGTTTTGTCCTCCGGTTTCTTTTGTTGGGGCTAGCCTGGTGTTGGGCTAGCTGCTATGGTTGATCAGACAATGACCAATACCCATCACGTGCCAGACACTGTGCTAAATGTTGGGGATAGAAGTGCAATGAATGAAATAATACCTGCTCACAAGTAAGGATCTTACATTCTAATGAGGAAGACAGGTACATTTACAATTGTGTATAGAATGGTGGAGCCTGGATGATACAGTAACAGTGTAGCCTAAGTCAACCCCACAAATCTTCCAAACCTCAAGAAAATATACCAGCCCAAGTCCTGATCAGGAAATCCAGGAAAAAACCAATAGTGGGTCATTTTTTTCAGCCCTGGTCAGCATAAGGAAAGAGATGGAGAGATCTGTGGACATTGGGAATGGGGCCTGGCCAGGAAAGGCCTCACAGAGCATTCCAGCCCAGATAAGAGCTGTGCATGGGGGCAAGAAGAAGCCCTTGATCCTGTGGAGAGGGAGCTAAACTTGTGCAGAGTAAAGGAAAGGCTGCAAACTGGCTGCTTTGTTACCCACATCTCAATTCCTGGTCATAGGATCCAAGGTTAACTGAGAAGGACCTGTACCCAGGACTGGCGTTCTAGGGTGAGGAACAGTTGCATGCCCTCAACTGTGTACTGAGAAAGGAACAAGTTCACAAGCAAGCAGCATTTGTGTGGCTTCAACTGCAGTAGAGCAGGGTCTCAATTCCAGCCTCTGACCTGTTGTGAAGCCTGCAGTAGAACAAGAATCCCGGACCAAAGGGCACCCTGCAGTTCTGTCACTCTGAACCAACAGAGTTTCCCAGTAGACTGACAGAGGCTAAATCCAGCATCAGTCTGCTGAAACTCAGATGAAGGACAAGGCCACAAGCATGTTGCTCAGACCCAAACCCAAATCAGAAACTAGCAAAGTCCAGGCCAAGTAGGCAGAAATCCAACTTTTCCTTGTTGTGTTAGACACTTTGAGAACAATGAAAGCTTTCATATCCTTGATCTGAGCTGTCTCTGATATCCTGAAATAATTCAACTCTTAGTACCCCAAGGATTCAGCAACAACACCAGCCCAAACATTTCCTCCAGCAATGTGCAGAGCCCAGATCTAGTATAAAAAGACCAAAGTCAGGAAGCAGGCTAGAAGAAGAGTTAACAAGAACAGAATCCTCATTATAAAAAGCTCTTATTGTAACAGAGACACTCAAGAAATAAACTCAGTGCTTGCCTTGTCAATGAAGGTGGGTAGGGAGGGAGGGAGAAAATTTGGAAACCAAAGTTTTAAAAACAAATGTTAAAAAACTTGTTTTAACATGCAACTGGGAAATAAGATATACAGGCAATGGGGTATAGAAATCTATCCTGCCCCACAGGAAAATAGAAGAGGAAGGGGATGGGGGGGAAGTTATACAAGGGAGTGCAGATTAGGGGAAAGGGTATTCAGAATGCACACTGTCTTGGGGTTGGGGGAGGGACAAGATGGGGAGAAAATCTGGAACTCAAAATCTTGTGGAAGTGAATGATGAAAACTAAAAATAAATTAATTAATTAAAATTTTTTTAAAGAAAAAAAAGAAACTCAGCAGAAAAGAATAACTCCAAAACCTCTATAAGCAAAACCTCAAACACACATATATACCTACACACACAGAGACCAACCACAAATTCAACTATAATTCTTGGAAGAGATGAAGCAAGAGCTAAAAAAAAAAAATTTTTTTTTTACAATTGAGATGAGTGTTAGAGGAAAAAACTGGAAAAGAAATGAGAGCTGTGGAAGAAAGAATTGGAAAGAGAATTAACAGTGTTGCACAAGAGTACAAAACCTTACCCAAGCAACCAACTCCCTGAAAATTGGAATGAACCAAGTAGAAGTTAATAACTCCATGAGATAACAAGAAATATTAAAACACAGTCAAAAGTTTGAAAAATGGAAGAAAATGTAAGCAACTTTGTGTTAAAATGACTGACCTGGAAAACAGATAAGGGTCAAAACTTCATATACAGCATCTTGAAGAGGATTTTTTGAGGCAGAGATGAGGAGGGACTTATTTCCAGCTGGGCAGTCAATGCAAAAGCATGAAGATGGAAGGTGGAATGTCATTGTTTGAAGAACAGAAGAGGGAAAGAAAGTTGCCAGGATCACAGAGTGCCTAGGGAATGACATTCAATGAGCCTTGAGATATGGGTTGAGGTTACATTATGTAGGGCTTTTAAAATCAAACAGAAAAGTTTGTATTTTATTCTATCATTATTTTATTATTTCCTTGCAATAGGGAACCCTTGGAGATTTCCCTGGAGGGAAATCACATGATCACATCTGTATTTAAGGAAAATCACTTTGGCAACATTATGTAGGATAGACTGGAGTGATGAGAAAATTGATGCAGGAGCCCAATCTGAGTGTTGCAGTAAACTAGGTGTAAGGTGATGGACACCTGAACTAAGGTGGTAAAATATCTAAGTAGAGAGAAGGGGTTGGATGCAGATGTTATGGAACTGTATATTCAGGTTAAATAGCCCTAGTTCCTTCAATTGATTCTTCTATGTATGAACTTGAGGTACTTCACTATCCTGGGTACCTTTCTTTACATATTTTCTAAGTTATATTGGGATATAATATTCCAGGTGTGATGTGACCAGAACAGAGTACAGCAGGACTCCTTGAACACTGTGTCAGTCACTAGTAATGTGCCAAGCACTTCACAAAGCACTTGGGGATATTAAGAGAGGCAAAAAAAAACAAAAAAACCCCAATCCTTGTTCTCAAAGAGCTCACTGTTTAATAGAGGAGCCAACATTAATACAACTATGTACAAATACAATATAAACAGGATACATTGTGGGGTAAATCTCAAAGGGAATGCACTAAAATTAATGCAGCCTAAGATGGCAATATCATTCTTGGCTGCCATTGCACACTGTTGGTTCCCAATAAATTTAAAGTCCACTAAAAATACCATATATTTTTCAGATGAGCTACTTTCTAGCCATTCCTCCCTGATCTTGAACTTTTGAAACTGATTTTTTGAACCCCAATATTTGACTTTAAATTTTTCCTTGTTAAATTTCATCTTATTTGATTGGGCTCAGTGTTGTAACATCTTTTTTAATTCCAGTTTTATGTAATCTGTAAGTTTGCTAAGTATACCATCAATTCCACCACCACCCCCCTCCCCAGCTTCCTAATTCCAATGGTAGAGGTAATAGTGGTTAGAACTTGTCCATCTTTGCTGTTCTTCCATTCAAGGGGACAGTAAACCCTGTATGAGTCTGAGCCTTCCTACTGTTAAAATTGAGCACTTACCACAATGCTCAAAACTTTATTAACTGGACCTTATTATACTGGATTATAAAACTTCACTGTGGCAATATCAACTTATTATTGTGTTTGTATTTTTTTCTTCTTCAAAAATGAAATCCCCATGTAGAAATAAACTCATATTTAGGATTCATATAAAGTCTGAACAAGATAGAGTGCTACTTTCTTAGGTTCCTTAGTTAGCTTATAGATCTTGAGTTCAACTTATATTATTCACATTGATCTCTGGGGAACACTGTGACTGAACGCTTACTTTTGTTGATTAGTATGTGGCAGATGATATAATGAATGAGTTCATGAATATCCAAGTCGTTGTAATTTCAAATATTTCAACTGTAAGCTTTGTAAAATTAGGACAAATAAAAATATACATAACAAGTACAATAATGTAAATAAAGTCAGCATGGTGAATTAACAAAAACTCAGTAAATAATTAGTGTAGTACTACAGTACTGCCTATTACTGTAGTATAGTACTATAGTATTGTAGTACTGACAATACTGTATAGTATTGTCAGAATTAAATGCAAGCTTCCTTTTTTGTTAACATTCGATTGATTACTTAGTGGAAGGTACTTGGGGGCATGTGATATTTCAATGTTTTACTGGGAAGTGCCTATTATGTCAAAATAAATGTATCAAATTTCAAAAAATTTTTAAAATGAGAATATGATGCTTCTGTAGTTGATACATATCTGGTTGTTTGATAAAAATCAAGTTTTTGTCTATTTGTTTTCTTTAGCTTTAAAGAAGCCCCTTTTTTCAGTTTCTCAGCATGAAAGCCGTCAAGAAAATGTACATTCTCCAACTGGAGAGCCTCATCCCCCAAATATGGCACCAGGTATGAACTTTTACTCTTATAGTTATATTTTATAACCAGTTTTGAAACTATAATGAAATCAGCTTTTTTTGAGAACTAGTAAATGTAGATAGTTTTTTTAAGGCACACCATCAGGTACCATTTACATTTTCCCATCTTCTGTTAGGATTTTAAAATGCATATTGGCTAATGGCATGATAACTCAAAGGCATGGACATTTGCTGTTCTCTTATATAAAGAACATACGTTTCTCTGATTTTTAACACTGGACACATTAGGTTACCTTTTCAATTAATGTAAATATTATTTTATATTTTGAAGCATAATTTGAACCCAATCTGAAAACTGGGTTAAAATTACTTGAATACTAAATACATCCTGACTAGACTAAATAGTAATAAATTTACAATAGGTTTTGGGGGTGTACAAAACTTGTCTTCTGTACTCATTTGGAACCACTATTTTGAAGCTTATAGGAATGTCCTTGCTTGTTTTGCAAATCAGAAGACTGAATACTTATTTAGCATATCAAATTCAGTTTTGAAAGATGACATCTACTTTGCCACTTACTGTACCACTTTATCAGATTGTGTGACAAATACTTTTGCTCATTATTTACACTTTAGCTGAAAGGCTCCTGGATCTCTAGAAACTAAGAAAGGCATGATCACTGATGAGTCAGAGAATGATGTTTTAATTTAAAGTAATTTTAAAAAATAAAACCTAGCATAGTGTCATGGTCATTACTATATACTAACAAAAGTACACAAAAGATGTTTATGATCATAGATTCATAAAATATTTTGTGCACCTCCCTTTTGCTCATAGAACACCAAAAACTTAACAGTCTCTCTTAAAATTGTTTTAAAAAATTAATGACCTCTTTATTCATCCTTCCCATTTATTTCTATTGCACATTCTTTTCTGTGAATACTTAACTTGGGCTCCATATACTCCTTAGATTTCATGGAATCCATGAATTTGGATGGGGAAAAAAATTACATCTTTGTTTTTACCAACTCCAACTGAAATTTTTAATTTCTTTCAATTATGAGTATATAGGCTTCACTAGACTGCCAAAGGAGTCCATGACACAAAGAAAGATTAAGAAACCCTGTACCGAAATATCTTTACTCCTTAATAATTACCAAGAATGAGGACAGTAGGAATTGACTAATAAATGGGCTTTTTCAGCCTTGCTTGATTACTGATGAACACCATTTCATATAGTTCTGAAAGACTTTATTGGAAAGGGCTTCACATATTTGTTCTATATACAACATTGTAATCTACTTGAAACCACTTAGTCAGAATGGCCGTATGAGATGCCATATGCACACCAGATACACAAAAGTGTTTGTTATTATTGTGTACTATTAGCATCTCAGAGTATGGTTTTAATATGCAATGAATATGACTCATCTCTTCTAGATCAGTTAGGTTTATTCATTTTCATGGCCAAATCACCTCTCAAGTAAGGGTGGCCAGCAATGAGTAAATTAAAAATTGGATGTTGGTATTGCCAATGGTTGTAGAAAGTTTTTTAGAGGAAAAGATAACTCTACCATTTAATCTTTTGGTTTTAGGAGAATTTGGGTAATCAGTGCTGTAGATGTATACTTGGTAACGAACAGCATACCAATAATGAATATCTGAAAGCGTATTTGTAGTTGGGGATAACTCAAGAAATAATAAAATGAGAAAAAAAAGAAATAATAAAATAGTAAAAAGGAAGGAAGGAAACGAGCATTTATAAGCCCTTACTATGTACCATGCTCTGTGCTAAGTACTGAGGATACAAATATAAACAAAAAGAAAGACAATCCTTACCCTCCAGGAGCTTACATTCTGATGAGGGAAGACCACACACAAAAAGGAGCCAAATAGCTGAAGGAGGTGGTCATGAGGGGTGGGAAATAGTTATGAAGACCTGGAGGGGAGTAAAGGCCAGTAGTAACTCACTTATGGATGAAAGATACAGGTCTTATAGACAGATATTCCAGGTTGAAAAGACCACAGAAGTGGTTGGATATTTCAGGACCAAGAGGCCACAGGGCTGCAAGACTCTCAAGGGAGTTCGAGGGTGAGGCAAGAAGTACGGTTATGAAGTCCAGAAGCTAGGAACAGGGCCAGGAGGAGAGAATCACATTAGTGACCAACTTCAAGGGGTCAAGTTTTTCTTAGTTCTTCTGAATCATTTAGTTGTTGTGAAATGGTGAACTTTTTCAAAGTATAAAATTAACTTTACGTTTTTACGCTACAGATTTGCATGTTAGCAACATTGGAAACCCTGACACTTTGAAGCTGATCCCTCCCAATCCTCTTCAGCGTTTAATTCCTGGCCCAAACTTGGAGAATGAAAATGAACACAAAATTCAGACAGACATGTTAAAGCAGGCTTCAAAGGATAGAGTTGGTGACTTCCATAAGATGAAACAAAGTAAGAATGAATTTGTTACAATCATTTATCATTCTTAAGTGCATTTCTTTATTAATTAGTATCTTTACAAATTTGAAGCTTAGCTTTCATTGTTATCTTCAGCAAATAACATTTTAATATCCACAGTAAGATCTTTCTTTGAGCTATGTGTTTCACTTTGGACACAGCCTCTCCTAATGTGGAGGCAGCATGGAATACTTTTTAAAAAGTTTTAGAGTAAGCATCTGAGGTCCTGGATTTAAATCCCTGCTCTGCCACTTACTACCTGTGTGACCTTGGACAAGTGATTTAACCTCTTTGACCTTGACTTTTCTTACCTGTAAAATAAGGGAGGTAGATTAAATGGTAACTGAGGTTCTTTCCAGCTCTTTATCATATTGTCTCAAATGTAGTCTGTGCCCCTACAGTTAGATCTCTTTGAAAGGAAAAAAATGTAGGTGTACACTGGGAAAAAAAATCAAATGCAGGCTGCTCTCAAATTTTATTCAAGCCAAATGTGGGGAAAAAGCTCTACCTATATGCAGACCAGTGTAGCATTATCTGAAAAGATTATGAAACTTAACAGAAAAAGATGAAATGTCAGTAGAGTCTAGTGTACATGTTGCATATTTCAGATGAGTTTTTTTTTATATTGCTTTCAGTTATTTTAACTGTGTCTTGAAGTAAGAAAGCCAAATTTTGGTGAGCTGGTGAATTTTACCTTCTTGAAAAGGTAAAAAAATTAAAGAATTCTTTGAAAATATAGTTTTGTGTTTTCCTTCAATTTAGCTCAAATGCTACTTTCTGCAAGAAGCCTTTCCTAGTTCTTTCCAGTGCTAGTGATTTTCCTCTAAAATTATCTTCAGGGCCAGCTAGGTGGAGAGAGCACCAGCCCTGGATTCTGGAGGACCTGAGTTCAAATGCAGCCTCAGACACATAACAGTCACTATCTCTGTGACCCTGGGCAAGTCACTTAACCCTGTTGCCTAAACCAAAAATAAATAAATAAATAAAATAATCTTCAATTTTCCCTGGATATGTCTTACATGTACATAGTTGTGTTTGTATGTTGTCTTCTCCATTAGAATGTAAGCTCCTTGAGGGCAAGGACTGTTTTTGCCTTTCCTTGTATCTCTAGCCCCTGGCACAATGCCTGCCCATTGTTGTTGTTATTCAGTGTTTCTGTAGCATCTGACTCTTTGTGACCTCATTTTGGGGTTTTCTAGGCAAAGATACTGGAGTAGTTTGCCATTTCCTTCTCTAGCTCATTTTACAGATGAGGAACTGAGGCAAAGAGGGTTAAATAATTTGCCCAGGGTCACACAGCTAGTAAGTGTCTGAGGCCAGATTTGAACTCAGGAAGATGAGTCCTCCTGACTCCAGACCTGACTCTATTTACCTAGGTGCCATGCCTGCCCATAGTAAGCACTTAAATGCTTGTTGACTTGACTTAAATCCTTGGGACTTTATTTTAAAATAGTATTTTAGAGTGTTAGCCTTTATGAATTTGATGTTTTAGTGATAATTACTTTTCTAGATTTCAAATCCTTGTGTAATGATTCTAATTTTCTCTGTTTTCAACAGATTTCTCTCCTTGGTATTTTAAAAATATACATGTTAGTCTTTTGCAAAATACAACGTGAAACACACATATACTCATTAGAGCTGCGACAAAACATTTGTGAGTTCCTCATGAGCCTTCATACTTACAACTTAACATCACAAAATAAATACTTAATATACTTTGGAGAGCAGAATTTTGTCTTTATAAATATGTGAATTTACAAAAAACAGTATTAAAAATATCCCTTATTTGATCTTCCTTTTTCCCACTGTTACCCTCAGGTATTTATGGTTGCCTACTTTGCCTTGTCTCAGTATTATATTTGGTAATTATATACAAAAATAATGGTTAGTTACTATATAGTAAAGCATTTCCTTAAACCTTCATGTTTGACTAAGTGGAAAACATAGTCACCCTCTAGGTAGACAAATAATAATTGGATAACAAAATATAATATTTCATTTTGTTTCTTTTTATTATTTTCTGTAAATATATCCTTCTTAATAAACCCTGTTGCTGTCTTCATATTGATTTATGGTTTTGTTTTTTAGTAACCAGGGGTTAGGAATTGGACCTCTGATTTCACTGGTATAGGGAACTCTCTGGTAAGGACATTTCTTCTCCTAAAGTAGGTTAGCACCTTCTTTACCAAATTAGCTCCTTACACAGTTGCCTTTGTTATGTATTTGATTGTTTAACCATGAGTATAGTTTTTCTTTTTTGTCTCTTTTTGAAGAGATAACATATACAAATATTTTAAAATTATCATCTTTGACTAAAGTGTTACTGAAAAGCATAAGCTACATTTTATTTTGAAATATTTCAGATAAACTGGTTTTTATCTATTTGTTCTTAAGACTGTATTATGATTTTAAAATATTTTAAGTCTTGTGAGAAGCTAAAGAATATTTTTATAAACTAAAGGACTGGTCAATTGATGTCATTCAGGTCTTGTTTTATGTGTATGAAAAAAAATTCTTATAAAATAATTTAAGAGCAGAAGCCTTTATTTTTATAGACTTAAGGAACAACAAAATTGTTGCAATAATTTAGCTTTGTCCATAGAAACACACTAAAAATTTGCATATAATAAAATCTTAGACTTAAATAATTCTGAATTTGTGTTAATTTATTGTTATTTTATAATAATAGAGGCATATGCCACTTACACTTGCCCTGATCCTACCTTATTTCACAGTGTTAGCCTTTATGAGTTTGATGTTTTAGTGATAATTACTTTTCTAGATTTAAATCCTTGTGTAATGATTCTAATTTTCATCAGTTCTTTGCTAAGCCCTAGAGCCAAAACTTACCCAGTCTTGGTACTCACAAAGGAAACACCAAGGAAAGGTAAACACAAAGGAAAAGAGAACAGAAACAAAACATTTTAAGATTTTTTTTTAACTTTTTAACGTATTTATCTGCAAGTTCAGTGTCACTCTCCCTTTCTTGATCTTACTTCTCTAGTCTTGTAAAGAAAAGGGGTGTGGAGGAAGGAGAATTAGGAGAATTTGGCTTTGAAAATTCCATGCTCCAGTGTTAATCTATTCTCCTCCCCGTTTCACGTGTTGCTATAGGGGTTTAGTATTTGTTCACTGTTCAGTAGCTCTGGGGAAATGGGTTACCTACCCCAGTTGTGGAAAATAGATTCTTTCTTTTCTTTTTTTTTTTTTTTTTAAGACCAAACCAGGGCAGCTAAATGGAGCAGTGGTTAGAGCTCAGGCCTTGGAGTCAGGAGGACCTAAGTTCAAATGTAGCCTCTTACTTGCTGTGTGATCCTGGGCAAGCCACTTAAGCCCGATTGCCTCACCAAAAAGAAAAAAAAAAAAGACCAAACTATTAGAACAAACTTAACTAGATGGCTAAGGGTTCCTGAGGAGGGAAGAGTTCTTCCCTTCTCTATGATGCTGAATTCTTTTTTTTTCCTTATGCCCACCGACATTCAAGCCTCTCCCTGTGTAACCTCCTCCTTCCTTGCCTCCCAGACCCATTGGTTTTCAGCCATAAATTTCACAGTTTCCTTTGATTACTTGCTCTGTGAGATCACTACATTGTGTGTCTGGTAGTATATCCATATATCATTTTAATGCTTGCTTTCATTCAAGCAGCATCACCTGGCTCCAATTTTGTTAATCATGTCAGGTCTCTGTGTCCTAAGCTAATTGGGGATACACTTATCAGATCCTCTTCTGATTTCCTCTTTGAGTTTTAAAAACATATACAGCTAGGCCTTACTTATCTGACTTGTTAATCAGTATTGATAGTTGATCTGGTAACATGATGTAGTGGATAAAGTGCAGGATTTGGAATGAATAAGACCTAGGTTCAAATCTCCCCTCTGACATTTAATAGCTTTGTGACTATAGGCAAGTTGCTTAACAGTCTCTGAGTCTCAGACCACTCTAAGGCTTTTGGGTTATGGGTAGCTCGTGGTCTATGTTTTTGAGAACACCAAGGAAATGATAGATGCTTGACAGATTTAACTCATGTCCAGTTAATGTCTGGTCCCAATCAATCCAGATATGAAATCCCATGGTAGTTCTAAAATGCCATATTATCTGGATTCTAAATGCATCATCTTTTGCTATTTTCTAACTGAATAGTGAAACCTTGGAGTAGTGGGGGAAAATTATGTCTTCATTTTCACTAACTTCTAACTGAAATTTAACATTTCCTTCCATTATGGGTGTGGGCAACACACACACACACACACACAAGCATACTCTCTCTTTCTCTCTCCCTCTCTCTCTCTTTTTCTTTCTTTCTTTCTCTCCCCCCCTCACATTTTTAAATGTCCAAGTAGATTTCAGGGTAATTGATTATGATATCCTAAAGAAATAAAGAGATCTGCTCAAGATAAACAAGTACTTTCATTTTATGGAAACACAATATGAAGAATTTTATTATTCTATCATTTCCAAATCAAGAAATACATTCTTGATGTGTTACCTTAAATTCTCATTTCTGGTATTCTCCCTGGGGGCAAAATGTTGTTTTGGACAATTTTCATTCAGGCCTACAATTAGAAACCTTCCCAGAAGAATATGTTGTTGAGCATGTTGTTTACTTCTTCAGATTTTAAAGTAGTAAAAAATACAGCCTGGTTTGTTTTTGAAATATGAAGGATTTTTGCAATAACAGGACTCCATCCTGTTAGAGGGCTGGGCTTGGGAAGGGTAGCTACAAAAAGTAAATAAAATTTCCACTGAAGGATTCAATAAATATTTTAAAATCATTTGTTATATGAAAAATAACATAAAAACAAGTGCTCAAAATAAAAATACTGTATTGAAAACTGTATTCTCTTTAGGCTAAATCTATGTAAAAGGAAGATATTCCCCAAGAGGCAGAGTATTGGATTAAGTACAGAGTTCTGGATTAAGATAAAACCTGGATTTGAGTGTCTGGTCTGCCCCTTTACTATCTGTGTAATTGTAGGCAAATCACTTAACCTTTC